GCTTGTCATGATGTTCTATAAGTAATGTGATGTTCGCCTGTCATGATGTTATATATGTCATGTGAGTTCCCCTGCCATGATGTTCTATATGTCAGTGATGTTCCGCTTGTCATGATGTTCCTCCTGTCATGATGTTTCCCCAGTCAAAATGTTCCCTTTGTCTTGATGTTCACTTTGTCTTGATGTTCCTCTCTTTTCAATGATGCCATTGTTTAATAAACAGTTAAATTATCAACAGTTGAATCTCCTTCTCCCACCATCATTGACTCACCCTCTCCCTATCAACATGTAGATGATGGAAGCTACGATGATGAGGAAGCCAACAGAAGCGATGACAGCTCCAGCAACGATGACGTCACGGCGACCTGGACAATAATAGTGAACTTAATTAAACAGTTCACCCTATATCATTGTGCGTTTCAGTTGTAATGTTTTGAGGTGTGTTGTGGTATATTAGTATCGAGGTGTGTTGTGGTATATTAGTATCGAGGTGTGTTGTGGTATACTAGTATTGAGATGTGTTGTGGTATATTAGTATCGAGGTGTGTTGTGGTATATTAGTATCGAGGTGTGTTGTGGTATTTTAGTATCGAGGTGTGTTGTGGTATATTAGTATTGAGATGTGTTGTGGTATTTTAGTATTGAGATGTGTTTTGGTATATTAGTATCGAGGTGTGTTGTGGTATATTAGTATTGAGATGTGTTGTGGTATATTAGTATCGAGGTGTGTTGTGGTATTTTAGTATCGAGGTATGTTGTGGTATATTAGTATTGAGATGTGTTGTGGTATATTAGTATTGAGATGTGTTGTGGTATATTAGTATCGAGGTGTGTTGTGGTATATTAGTATCGAGATGTGTTGTGGTATATTAGTATCGAGATGTGTTGTGGTATATTAGTATCGAGGTGTGTTGTGGTATATTAGTATCGAGATGTGTTGTGGTATATTAGTATCGAGATGTGTTGTGGTATATTAGTATCGAGGTGTGTTGTGGTATATTAGTATCGAGATGTGTTGTGGTATATTAGTATCGAGATGTGTTGTGGTATATTAGTATCGAGATGTGTTGTGGTATATTAGTATCGAGATGTGTTGTGCTTTATTAGTATCGAGATGTGTTGTTGTATATTAGTATCGAGATGTGTTGTGGTATATTAGTATCGAGGTGTGTTGTGGTATATTAGTATCGAGATGTGTTGTGGTATATTAGTATCGAGATGTGTTGTGGTATATTAGTATCGAGGTGTGTTGTGGTATATTAGTATCGAGATGTGTTGTGGTATATTAGTATCGAGGTGTGTTGTGGTATATTAATATCGAGATGTGTTGTGGTATATTAGTATCGAGATGTGTTGTGGTATATTAGTATCGAGTTGTGTTGTGGTATATCAGTATTAAGATGTGTTGTCGCATGTTAGTATCGAGATATGTTGTGGTAAAATAGTATCGAGGTGTGTTGTGGTATATTAGTATCGAGATGTTTTGTGGTATATTAGTATCGAGATGTGTTGGGGTATATTAGTATCGAGAAGTGTTGTGGTATATCAGTATTGAGATGTGTTGTCGTATGTTAGTATCAAGATGTGTTGTGGTAAATTAGTATCGAGTTGTGTTGTGGTATATTAGTATCGAGTTGTGTTGTGGTACATTAGTATCGAGAAGTGTTGTTGTATATAATTATCGAGATTTGTTGATATACATATAAGTATCGAGACGTGTTGTTGTAAATTAGTATCGAGATACATTGTCGCATATTAGTATCGAGATGTGCCGTTGTGGCCTATGAGTATCGAGACGTACTGTTGTGCTAAATTAGTATTAGTATCGAGATGTGTTTTGTAGTATGTGCGTGTCAAAATCTGTTGTAGCATATAAGTATCGAGGATCGAGATGCGTTACACTTCTGTGTTACCTCAACTGTATTCAGCCGACCGCCGTAATCATGACGCGGGATCACGCTATTAAGTTTGTGCTGTGATTATGTAAGGGAGGCAACTCTTTACGGTGTGCCCCCCAGTTATGTATATTTATGTTGTTACTTCCCTGCAGATAGCTCCACCATAAATCCTAACCCTTTCCCCGTGTAGCACCTCGAGTGTTTGCGTGCATTTGAATAACCAACTAGTTTCTTACTTTAGACTCAGGGCTATTCGGATGTCATTTGTGGTAGTTTATTTTAGTGGAACTGAAGAAGTAAGTATACAAGCATAAGGTCCAATCAATTATCTTTCATTTGATACCAAATTTTGTCTTACAAACCCTACAATAATAATTTTTTTATTAAATTTTAATCCCAACCTCTCACTCTCGAACCCGGGTCCGTATAGCCACTTCGTATATATATATATATACATATATATATATACATATATATATATATATATATATATATATATATATATATATAATATATATATTT